GAAATGCTTGAAATCTCTCACACATTCCCACGCTAAACGCCATATCATGGCTACTTTCATTCAAGTAGAGGAGGGATCCAATATTTCCCCTATACATGGTTTCATTTACTGCACACCCTGCTTTATCGTTATCAAGTTTTGAGCTTTTTCCCATGGGTGTGTCAAATGTTTTTCCCTCCAGCATGTTGAACCTTTTGAGCAACTCTTTGATGTACTTTTCTTGACAAATAGAAGTGTCATGTGCCGACTGCTTGATTTGTAACTCCAAGAAGAATTTGAGCTCCCCCATCATACTCATTTCAAATTCAATTCCCATCAAGGTAGCGAAGTCATTGCATAATGCATCCGAGGTTTCTCCAAAGATAATATCATCAACATATATTTGGAAAATGAGAAGTTCCTTCCCTCTTGATTTCAGAAACAAGGTGTTATCAATTTTTGTTCTCTTGAAGCCATTTTCAAGAAGAAATATTCATAATCTTTCATACCATGCCCTTGGTGCCTGCTTCAGCCCATATAGAGCCTTATCCAATCTCAGCACATGATTTGGTAGATCAATGTCTTCGAAACCAGGAGGTTGCTTAACATATACTTCTTCTTTCAAGTACCCATTCAGTAAGGGACTTTTTACATCCATTTGAAATATCTTAAAGCCCATGTATGAGGCAAAAGCAATTAGAATTCTGATAGCCTCCATCCTGACGACAGGAGCAAATGTTTCGTCATAATCAATTCCTTTTTCTTGATTATAGCCCTACACTACCAGTCGCGATGTGTTCCTTGTGATGACTCCATTCTCATCCAATTTTTTTTTCTGAACACCCACCTAGTTCGTATTACACTTCTATCTATTTTTCTAGGGACCAGATGCCACACTTGATTTCTTTCAAATTGATAAAGCTCCTCCTAAATTGAGTTGATCCAGTCAACATACTTTAAGGCTTCCTTCACTCTTTTGGGTCAAAGGTGGAAATGAATGATGATAAAGCAATGAGATTTCTAGTTTGAGACCTGGTATGCATCTCAAAATCTAATGGAGAGACAAGATTGTCCATTAGATGAGATGACTGATGTTTCTATGCTATCCTTTTTGAAGACTCAACTGATGGTTCTGCAACTGATTCATCATCCTTAGAGTCAGCTTCCTCAATTCCATCCAAGTCTGCAGTATTTGTCTTGTCTGATTGACCAAGTCCCTCTTCAGAGTCAGAATTTTCTTTCAGTTGAGACAATACACTATTTATGGCTTCTGGAAGTAGGATATCTCTTTGCACCTACATAACCTCTTCAATTTCAGTCTCATATTTGTTCTTTATACTGTCTATTTCACCATTTATCAAAGATAACATGAACACTTTCCTCAATGCATAGAGTTCCTTTATTGAAGACTCTATATCCCTTACTTGTTGAGGAGTACCCCCACGAAGATCATCACTCTTGGGATCAAACTTTTCCAGATCATCTTTGCCATTGTTGAGAACGAAATATTTGCAACCAAAAGCCATAAGATAACCGAGCTTAGGCTTTTTTTTGTTCAGCAATTCATAGGGTGTCTTTTTTAGAACAGTTCTAATAAGACACATGTTATTTACATAGCAAGTTGTGTTCACCACATCTGCCAATAAATTCTTTGCAGTATTAGAATCAATTAATTAGCATAGTCCTTGCAATATCCACAAAGTTCTATTCCTCCTCTCAACTACCCCATTTTGCTGAGGGGTTCTGGGAGCTGATCCCAACAATTTTGCTATCTAGCATTATTTGAACCATTTTTGCAAAAATGATCAAGACTTTAGATTTTTCATCCTTGCTCCTCAGAAACACGATCTAGGTGAATCTTGAGTAATTATCAACTATCATAATAATGTACTTATTTCCACCACTACTTTAAATTCTTACAGGTCCGCACAGATCTATATGAAGAAGTTCCCGCGGAGTGGTTGTGCTTACACCTTTCTTCTGTTTAAAAGAGAATATGGCTTGTTTCCCTTTGACACATGCATCACAAACATGTTATCTGCAAATTTCAGTTTCGGTAGACCATGAACTAGGTCCCTGACACACATTTGCTCAGAAGTGAAGCACACACATGTCCTAGCCTTCTATGCCACATATCAGGATTGTCTCTTTGAGCACTGAGACACGTAAGATTATCTCCTTGTATTGAGTCCAAATCAACTACATACATGTTCTTGAGCCTTTTACCTATCAATATCACCTCACGAGAGGTTAAATTTGTGATAATACATTTGTTAGACAGGAATCTAACCTCATTTCCCTTGTCACAGATCTGAGATACACTGAGAAAATTATACTTTAACCCATTCACATAGTTCACATCATCTATGGAATGCTTCACATATCTTCGAATTTTCCCAATACCAAGAATGTAACCCTTCTTTCCATTACCAAACGACACACCACCACCTTGATGTAACTCAAGAGAAAGGAATTTGTGTGTTTCTCTAGTCATATGCTTGGAACATCCCTATCCATAAACCAACATTGACCACTTCCTCTCTTCTGCAGATGAAGAATTACTTGTTAGATTTAGGAACCCACTTGAGATGGAGTTCCCAAAAACTAGACAAAGGCTTGATAAGAGACTTCCTAGTCCATAGAGGCAATTATTTTTTGTTTAACTTGTCACTGGGACTAGGTTCCTTTATCCTTTTTCCTTTAAGCTTAGAATTTTTTTCCAGGATTTCATTCACTTTCTTTCAGGATTCACGATCTTTTTTTAGATGACCATTTCTACTACATTAAGTACACAACAGGTTATTAGAGAAATACTTGTTGTGAGGGTTGTAGGATGGATACATCTTCTGACATCCTAGACCTTTGTGTTGTATTTCTGATTAGTCAAATTTTCTAGAATTTGTAAAGAGTTAGTCCATTTCAAGGATTTATTTAATTCATCCTTAGCTTGACTAAGATCCACTTCTAACTGAGTATTTTTTTTCTAGTGCAGCAGCTAGTTTTAACTTAGAATTTTTTAAGTTCTCTTCTCGTTCCAACTCAAAACTACTAAGTTTCTTCTTTCCATTTAGAGTAGTTTCAGGTTTTTCCTTGAGTAGCCGATTTTCAGCCTCCAAAACCATCATTCGATCATTTATTTCAGACATTTGCGATATTAAGGTTGTTATTTCATCTTGGCAGAAATCTAGATTCTCATCCAGAGCATCCTTTTCAATAGTTAATTCATCTATAGAATTAATCATAACAACAATGAGCTTTCTTAACCTTTTGATGGAGTATGTATTCATGTTACTTTTGAGGTCAAGAAGGGTTACCTATTCCTTGATGTCTTCATCATCTGTTTTTGACATAAACGAGAAGAGAGACTCAAAAATGTCTTCATCATCTTTGACCACCATCTTGGAAGCATCTTCATGTTGTTCTAATTCCTCAAAGTCACTGGAGTATGTTCCCCATACAGCAAGAGCTTTCTTTACCACCTAGTTAGCAATTGTTTTTTTTTCTGGCATTGTCAGAAATCTGGTCCCTACACTTTTCTCTATCTCTTCCGGTCTTGGCATACTCTTTGTATTCTAGCTTGTGCATTGGACAATCTCTCATGAAGTGTCTTGGATTTCCGCACTTGTGACACATATCACTGGCATTTGTTGATTGACTACAGTTTCCCTTTCCTCAAAAATCCTCCATGATTTTTGACTATTTTCTGAAATCTTCTAGTCAGATAGGACATCTCATCATCATCTTCCAACAGTTCACTTGGTGATGCTTTTAGTGCCAAGGACTTGTCTTTCCTTCCGTCCTTTTTGGAATTTTCTTGCTGCTTTTTTAGTTCATATGTTTGAAGGTTCCCAATCAGCTCGTCCATGGTAAGAGTATTCGGGTCCCTAGCTTTACTGATTGCATTTACTTCGCTTTCCCATGATTTGGGAAGGACTCAAAGAATGTTTTGAACCTGCTTGCTTAGATGAATAGTTTTACCAAGACATCATAGCTCATTGGTGATGGAAGTGAATGTGGTGTGCATCTCATGAATGGTATCTCCTTCTTTCATGCTGAAGTTCTCATATTGAGTAGTGAGCATGTCCACCTTTAATTCATTCACTTGGATGGTTACTTCATGGGGTGTTTTTAAGTAGTCACAACTCTCCTTGGTTGTTTCAGATGTTGAGATCATGTTGTATTCATCAGCACCAATTCCACAAACCATTAGCTTCTTGGCGTTATAGGTCTTTTCTATCTTCTTTCTGTGAGCTTCATCATATTCTCTTCTGTTCTTAGAAACCACTCGAGTTAGCTCTCCTTCTTGGACATCCATAGTGGAAACAGGGCCATTGATAATTATGTCACATAGTTCACTGTCTTCTTCCATGATATATTCATGCATTTTAGTCTTCCACCGGTATTACTATCCGTTAAAATGAGGGGACGAGTTGTAGACTGTCCTTCTTCTAAGATTGGTGGGGATGCTATCTTTGTAGGATCCTTTCTTGATGTTAATCAGATAGAAAATTCTGCTCTGATAACTATTGAAGAGATGTGCTAATCCACATTATGCTCAGGGACCAGGTTGATAATACACTAGTAATACAATAAAAGAGACTAAACTATAAAGTAAAAACAACAGGGAATTTTACATGGAAACCTCCTTGCTCAAAAGAGAAAAACCACGAGTCACACGACATTTTTCAATAGTTTTAACTATTTTCAGGCAACAAGTTAATACAGACTTCAAATGCACATACAAAGATTAGCGCTTTGGCTTGGAGTTGGGCACTCATTTCATTTCTATTCTCTTTGACAGAGTTCAAGGAACTTTAGCGCTTGAACAATTTGACAAGGAGATGGGAACCATAAATGGAAGTAATTCTACTTATCAATTAACACTTCAATGTATTAACTTCTTAACAGGGAGTAATTACAGTTTCACTCAAATCTGAATCCAAACACTAGAAATAATATCCATTATCCAAAACCACAAAAATAGGGCATACCTCAAAAGAAAAGTGACTAAGAAATCTTACATGTTCTTGCAACATCCATTAATGGTTGGATCAACATTTGCATCATACCTTTTTTTCTGAATCACTTTCCTTTTCTTTTAAATGTTGAAATACTACATCAAAAAGTGAAGATAAGTAAAACAAAAGACCAAAAATTATTTATACAAAATCAAAAGAAGGGAAAAAGAAATTCCCCAAACTATAGATCTAAAACATTTTTAATGACAAATGAGTTTCTCTATTAAATAAAAAGAAGAGGAAGCTTCTAAAGGAAAAGAGAATTACAACTGAAAAGATACCACATAACTATAAAGCTAGATTAAAACCATACATATGAGAATTTTTTCCATAATACGCATTTATTTAGAAGTGTAGGCCATTAACATAAATGAAATTGGTCAAGTATCCTACATGAACTGTAAAAAAGATCAATTTTTTTGCTATGGTCGCTCAAATTTTTTCCCCTAAGTGATTATATTTCTAGAAAAGGGTGAATTGAATAAATTACCATGATATATCATTACAGAGAATAATCAATCTACAAAAACTTGAGACCACTATTTTGGAAAAGGTCTTAGCTTGTCAATTTATATAAAGGATACATGATATAGGGAAAACAACAATTATTGCAAGTCAATAAATGGATGAAAATGATCTAAAGAAGTAAATCTTATTGTTCGAGATTTTTAAGAAAGAAATTAATTGCATTTAACTAAAAATGCATATTTGATAAATAAAAAGTTGGGTAGTCTTAAATTACTCTCTCTACATATAGATTATATATTGAAATATTATAATATTGCATTGACATGGCATAATCAGTGGCATACCAAAAATTTTCTGAAGTGTGTTCCAACTTTGGATAAGTAAATACTATTATTCTATATGAAAGGTTTGAAGTAATATAGTGATCCTCATAGTCGTTGTGTTTTTTCTTCTTGTTTTGCTTGTTTTGGCCTTCTCGCAATTTCACTATTTATTTTATGACTTGTAGAGATGGATGACATAATTCTCGAGGTGTTCTGACTAGTTTCTGAGGAACAGTTCCTAATTTTAGAGTTTTGAATTGTGAAAATTGACCAAAATCAATAATTTCGGCTAACGAGCTCCGTTTTGAATTTTGATGATTTTACGAGATCTGGGGGTGATTTATGATTTAGTTAAATATTTTACGTGGATCTCAAGGTATCTGAGAGTGAATAGTGTCATTGAGTTGATTTCTAGTTTTTTCCTAAAGTTTAGAGTTGACCCCAATAAACATTTGGTTAAGTTGTCATCAAATTGGAGATTTGATTATTCCAATAAGCTAGAGTTGTATGTTTGGTCCTTTTCGGGAGGTTCCGGATAAATTCCTCTTTTATGAGCTTAAGGGGATCGGGGTAGGCTACTTTATGCGGCTATACTCCTGCGATTTATTTTTTTGCTTCAGCGAAGGATGCACTGTGCACCAGCTTCTGGGAAGATAGTCCACATCAACAACCTCACACTTGCGAGGTTCCTTCCACTTCTATGTAATTTTGCCTGCTTTGCAGCTCACTGGTATGAAGATTCTTTGATTTGTCGAAAATACATAGCTGAACAATATTTTTGTTCCCCAATCTAATTTTATAGTTTATAACACAATTTTGGGATTTGAGAGTTTGGTTTAGGTGATTTCAAAGAGGATTTTCATGATTTGATTAGGGGTTTAGAATGTAACCTTGTATTTTCTACTTCCCTACTAATTCATTCATATCTTATGCGAGAAGACTTCAATTGGTTAATAGTGTCTTATCATCCATGCAAGGATTCTAGTCACATATCTTCCTAATGCCCAAAAAAATATTACAAAGAATAGAATCTATGTGCAAAAGGTTTCTATGGAATGGTGAAGTACAAAATAAAGGGAAAGCACTCATATCTTGGGAAACAATTTGCTGGCCAAAGGCTGCTAAAGGACTCAATGTCAGTGATATATATGTGTGGAATGAGGCAGCCATATCAAAACATTTGTGGAACCACCACAAGAAAAATGACAAATTATGGATTGTGTGGGTTCATACCTTTTATCTAAAGGGTAAGAAATCATTGGAGGTGGAAGTCAAGCAAGCCCCGTGAATTGTAAAGAACATTCTCAAGGCAGGACAATGGCTTGAAGAGAGAGGTTTACAAGTACCTGAAATCATGGAGGAAGAAGAGTTCAACATTAAATAAATGTATAAGAAACTGAAAGGGGAGTACAACAAGGTCTCATGGAGAAGATTGACTTGCAACAATCTAAGCGATTCTAAATGGGTATTTGCACTATGTGTGGCTATACACTAAAGATAGACTGAGCAACTGGGGAATTATTGATGAAGTTGTATGTTCATTATGCAAGGCAGAAATTGAAACACATTAGCACCTATTTTTCACCTATTCACTCTCAAAACAGATATGTCAAACGATGCTTAGTTGGTTACGGATCACAAGGGGTAGCACTGGATGGAATGAGGAGCTGGAATGGGCCAAAGGCCATACTACTAGCAAATCTACTATGACAGATGTATACATAGTTGCACTAGCAGCAACAGTATATAATATATGGCAGGAGAGGAACCATAGGTATATTCCAACATAAGGAGAAGACCACATACATGATCAGTCGACTAATTATCCAAGATATACATCATAGAGCTAACATGATACCAAGGCTAACATGATATATCCAGTCTTAATTTTTATCTTTAGAATAGTATACAAGTGTGAAGAAGATTTAGATGTAGTAGGGATCTAAAATTAGAACATTTCCATATCCAGAGTTCGAAATTGTACAGAATGACAAATCTGGTAATAAGATTTACAGTTACCGAAAAAATGTATTTGGATTGGGGAAATGTAGTTTAAGTCCCTAAGGTAAATTAGATGTAATTTCTTTATTTGAGAATCAATTAATGATCAAATTTAGCTAATTTTTGGAGCATGAGCTTTCCACACGATGGTTAATCTAATTCTGAAATCAATTTTCAAGTTTTGAACTTAGGAGCTCAGGGTTGTCTTTGTGAGTTGGTTTTTTATTAGAGTTTATATATAAAATATAGGTGTTGATATACCTCAAGCCTCCAGAAGGAGTTTCATGGTTAAATCCAACAAAAAGTTCTTCTTGAGCTCCAAACACCTCCACCAGATTTCACATCTACAAAAAGGAAAGAGTAAGGTCAATAGTAGTTGGGAGTGGATAAAACATAAGGTTGATTTACCTTTACGAGCTGATATATCTCCTCATTTTCCATGGATGAGAATGTTAGAGACCTATAGATGAAACACGAGCAAATAAAGGGTGAAGGGAGCCAGAAACGTTGGAAGCGGCGGAGTAATAAAGGGTGAAGGGAGCCAGAAACATGGAAGTGGCGGAGTACAAGAGAGTGAGAAATGGAGAGATTTCTTTAGAAAACCCTATTTTAGGGAATGACAAGTTATTGTTCATCAATACCAAGACCGAGTTGTCATTTTATTTCCTCATTTGGGCTATTTGGCATTTGGTCTAAATTGGGCTATTATTTGGCCTGTTTGTGTATGATACTTCTTTATAAGAAATAAATGAACTATTGGTCCATAAAAAAAATTTAAAAATAAAAAAAATGGGTGTTGATAGACTCGTATACTCATATAGAGTATATTTTGAATAAAATAGGAGAGTTCCAAGACTATTCAAAAAGGGAAGTAATTTTTTAATAGTTCATGGCACGTATACTCAGCTTTCAAGGCAGATTATGATTACTATCTTAGACTTTGTGTCACGACCCAGATCTACACCCTGGACGTAACTGGCACTCAAGGACAATTTCTGATCCCCAAGCGAACCACCATTGGTCTGGCTACATGACTTACATGACATTAAACAATACGTGAAAGCTTTAAAATAGGCAAACACTTATACATTCAAGAAAGTCTTAAAATAATGTCTTACAAATACTTATCATGAGTCATAAGTTAAATAAACATTTTGAGAAAAAAAATGGGAGCATCTAACTATGTCTGTCTATGAAGCCTCTAACAATATAAGATAAATGTCGAACAAGACCCACGACACCTCCAATACTACTAAGCTGAATGTAAATGGAGTCTCTCGAAAGTAAGGAGGCCTCACCAAAACTGTATGTGAGTGAATAGTGATCTCAACTAAACGTCTATTGATGATCCTGAGCACCTATATATGTATCATAAAACAATACAGGTCAAATAACGTCAGCACATTAAATGTACTGGTAAGTGAAAACGTTAGAGTAAACAATAAAATGGCTTGAATGACTGAAAACAACATAACTGGATCAATACATGTGTAACACCTCGCTATTTGAAAGAGCTAGAATTAGAAAGAACCATTTGTTTTGAAAGAAAGAAAATCTGAAATTTGGCAAAGTTATGTTAAGTATGAGTTTTGGGTCAACTTCAAATGACCATAACTTTCAGTACAAGAAGAGTTAGGTGGAAAATAAGATATCAAATGAAAGATCTTGGAATCCTCTTTCCAACACAACCGAGTTTGCTAATTTTTGAGCTCGTCTGAGGGAGATATGCCCGTTCGAAGTTGGCTGTCTAGATAAGGAAAGTTAACCAAATTTTAAAGGGGTATTTTGGTCTTTTCCATACCCAATTAATTTATTTCATTTTTAGAAGTTTATTTGGGTTCTAAACTGAGTTAGATCAGTTTATGCATTACCAAATCACGCTAGGGTTTTTGGAGAAAGAAATCAAGAGGAGAAAGGAGAAGAAAAGGTCAAGATTCGTCAAGTTCTTGCAATTTTGGTTGTGGATTTCGCCAAGGGTTAATCCCTACAAGGTATGTGAGTTCACACAGCGTTGGGTTCATTCACCCATGCACCAAACATGTTTATTTTAGCATGAATTCGTCCTAAAAAGCTGAAAGTTTGAATGTTCTTGATGTGTATCCTTGAATTGCTTTCGTTCTTGTATTGGGATTAGATTGAGGAGTTTTCTTGAGATTTTAGTGTCGATTATTAGAGTTGTTTGAGTTAGATTCTTGTGTACATGTTTTGGGTATCTGAATCTAAAGAGAAATTGAGAAAAAGAATCAAGTTTAATCGAATTAAGATCAATAAACGAGTTGGAAAATTCGTCAGGAAGGTCTAGGGAGAAGCTAGTGCGGCGCACCCCTGATGCACTAGGGAGG